AATTCTCTGCAGACGGGAAAGGCTGAGTGTGATTCCTTCTTTGGTGTGACTACAATGATACTGAAATTTCTCTTTTGTAAGAAGCCAGCCTTATATATTTGCTAAAAGTCAAACTGCAAACAAATGTTGACAGATCATCTGGACTGGGAGGATTGTGCCAACCACTCAGGATGAGACAGGAGGGTTAAAGGGTTTCCCAGCTCAAGGACACATTCCCCAACACCTCAGGTGAAGTTGAAATAATGGCCCCATAGACCGGAACCAGGTTCAGAGTATGGAGGGAGGAGCTAGAGCTGCAGGACATCAGAGAGCTTTCTAGAAAAGGTGGTCCTGGGCTGGGGAAAGGTGGGTGGGGGAAAGGTGTGCACGGGCATGTGTTAGAAGGATCAGGTAAACAAGGGGAAGAGGAAATAGCAGCAAATGTAAAGGCCACAAAGTTGTATGAGGTGATAGATAGTGTCCTGTCTAGATTGTGAAAGGGATTCCTGTGAGTTTAAAGGTGATCTTGCTAATCACAGAAAGGGAAACAGAGTCTGCTTGCCTTGGGCAAACAATTTCAGGAAGAGAGACTGCAGGAGACAGGTAGCCAGTCCCCTATAGTGCAAAAATTTCCTCATTCCCAAACCCCTCACCACCCACATAAAGGGTCCTGGCCAACCTTTTAGTCTGGCAGAACCTCAGTTTCCAGAAGCCTCCCTACCCGAGCTCCCTACCCAACTACGGAGTGCTAATAATAAGCATAGTTTGCCGTCTACCTCAGGGTATCTAGTGTGATGCATTTAGGGAAAAAACATAGGGCTAGGGATGAGGGTAGGGTTAAGGGATAAGGCTACACAGAGAAGACTAGGAAGTAAAAGGCCTGAGTTCCACACTGCCGAGTTTATGCAGATTATAGAACACAAGGGTTCGTTCCTTTATTTACTTATTTATTTTGGTTTTGGAGACAGGGTTTCTCTGTGCCCTGCCCTGTCCTGGCTATCGTGGACCTCAGAGATCAGTCTGCCTATACCTCCCAAGTGCTGGCATTAGAGGCATGCGCCACCATGACCTGCACAGAATACATGAAACTCGTACCAATGTCTGTCTTAGGGTTTCTATTGATGTGATTAATAATAAAATGACCAAAAAACAACTTATGGAAGAAAGGGTTTATTTCAGCTTACAGCTCTCAGATCTCACTCCAGTGCTCAGGGAAATGAGAGCAGGAACTGGGCTTGCTCCTCGTGGCAGGGTTCTTCCTCATCAACCACTGGTTAACAAAATGTCCCCACAGACTTTCCTACAGGTCAGTTTTTTTAGAGACAGGATTTCTCTGTGTATTGCTTTGGAGCCTGTCCTGGAACTAGCTCCATAGACCAGGCTGGCCTCAAACTCACAGAGATCCGCCTGCCTCTGCCTCCCGAGTGCTGGGACTAAAGGTGTGCATGACCAACGCCCGGCCCTACAGGTCAGTTTTATGGTGACATAGTCTCTTCTCACGTAACTGTAGCTTATGTCACATACAAAAGGGCAAACAAGGACAATACTGCTAGGAGTGTGACTGACTTAAGAAACTAACCCTGCCTTTGAAGCAGTAAAAAATTGCAGCAGTTGATTAAGACAGGCACGGTGTCACATGTGTTTAATGCCGGGACTCAGTGACAGGACAGAGCTCTGTGAGTTAAAGCTAGCCTGTCTTAGCCAGCTGCAGGCCAGCCAGAGACCCTCCCTGTCTGAAGAGGAAGGAAGGAAGGAAAGAATGGTGGATAACGTTCAGGATTGGGAAGCATTTAGCCGCAGTGGCTCCTTAGTCTCCTATAATCAAGGATTGTTCCAGTCTGTCTTTGTCTTTTGTGCTACCCAGTTATTTTGTGCAGTGCCTGTCAGTTTAGGTTGCTTTGATGTCCCTTGTGATTAAATTCAGATGCTGAATTTTTAACTATCGTAATGCTATCACCGTCTGGCTGTACTGAGACAGAGTCAGGCCGTAACCCAAGCTAGACTGGAACTTACTGTAGCCCAGGCTGGTTTTGAACTCACAGCAATCCTATCTCCTCAGCCTTCCCAGTGCTTTGAGTGCATTCTGGACACCACGTCCAGTGTAGTACTACTTCCTAAAGTAGCCTTTAGCGCAGTGTGGTGACACACGCTCTTAATCCTAGTACTTGGGAAGTAGAGGCAGAAAGATTAGAGTTCGAAGTCATCTTCAACTACAAAGGGAATTTGAGGCCAGTCTGGACTCCGAAACCCAGTCTCTAAAAGCAAGCAAATAGAAACTAAACTACTATAAATGAATAGATTGTAACTTTCCGATACCAGAATCCAGTGAGTTGCATATGCTTCCAAAATGTGAGTTACAATGCGACCTTTTCCCTTCCTTTTCAATGTCTTCTCCAGTGGAAGTTTGTTTCCTACTCATGATGTGAGAGGCCCCGCCCACTGTGGGTGTTGCCACCCCCACCCCACCCCACCCCAGGCAGGTGGTCCCCAGCTGTATAAAATAACAGGCTGAGCAAGCATCTCCCCTTGGCCTCTCTGCTTTAATTCCTGCCTCCGGGCTCCTGCCTCCAGTTTTCGCCCTGACTTCCCTGAGTGAGGAAATGTGACCTGTGAGCTGTACACTGAACTAAAACTTTTCTTTCCCGAGTTGCTTTTGAGCATGGTGGATTTTTTTTTTTTTTTTTTTTTTTTAAATCACAGCAACAGAATCAAACTCAGACAGGTACCTTCTTCTAACTGATGACTGAACTGGAGAACCGGTCATAGTCGTAACACACCGCTCCATTCTCTCTGCACAGGCTTTTGAGTATCGGCCATCTCCAGCATGAATCTGCCCCGTTCCTATGAGATGGAGTGGTGTGTTCACACTTACTATCAGTTCATCTTGTTTCAAAGAACGTGTGTGTGTGTGTGTGTGTGTGTGTGTGTGTGTGTGTGTGTGTGCGCGTGTGTTCCTGAGTGTGTGGGAAGCAGGGGTGTAGAAGTAGAGGCTGACGCTGAGATGTCTCTATGATCACATTTCTACCTTACTTTGAGACAGGGTCTTTCTTTTACTGCACTGAAGCTCATTGTTTGAGTTATACTGGTGGCCATCAGGCTACCCAGACCCACCTGCCTCCACCATGCTGGGTTACAGGCACTTGCCTCCATGCCTTCCTTTCACGTGGGCCCTGGGGTTCCAAACTCAGGCCTTCATGCTTCCTCAGCAATTACTTTCTACGGATCCACCTCCCCAAGCCCCTAAAGAATGTTAACAATGCCCGAAGTATATGAACCAAGCAACGAACCACCAAAAGTTAACTGTCCGGTAATGAAACCTGCACAATCTGAGTCTATTCCCAACAGCTAACTAAACGTGAGCACATTCCGAGAATGTGCCAACAATTGTGCCAGAAAATGTTACTCTTTTTCAAAACGTTCATCCTACATTCAAAGTAATAAGGACTTGGGGTCTTAACGTCCCTTCTCAGTTGGGTTTTAACAGTTGGTTAATGAAAACTGTTTGAAGAAAAAGAATCCAGCTATTTTAGTCACACACGAAACTGTTAAGAGTCGACCACATCTTTCCAAACCACAGAGTCATTCCTGAACGTGTTGTCCCTTCCAGAAGCACTTTGGTGGTGATTCTCTAACACAGCATGGGTCCCTGGGATGCTGTGGCCACAGCGCTGCCCATGCCCCCACACCTTCCCAGGGATGGGGCAATAGGACACAGAACTGGTTACAGGAGCACAAAGTGCTTCTGCCTTTCTTTCTGCGTTCCTAGGGGAGGTTCACACTGACCCAGGGTCTATTTTAACTCAGTTAAAGCATGTGCTGGCTAGTGGTTTTCAAAGGGAATCTTTAAAGTAGCCACAAAAGAAGAGCTCTGAACATCATTAAACATGTTGACTTAACATCACCAACTAAATTACTACTTTTTCTTGTGTTTTAGATAAAATTGCCGCATAGCATTAGAATGGGCTGGTGTCTTAGCTGGGAAGACAGGATTCGTGCAGCACAAGGAAGCCTCGAACTGGATATGTAGCAGAGGCTGACTTTGAACTCCTGATCTTCCTGCCTCCATCTCCGGAGTACCAAGGATTACAAATCCGTGCTGCCCTGTCTCCTGTCCCCCACTCTGGCTTTGTTTACATCAACGGTTCTGGGTCTTGATCCACTGAGGGTTGAAGGATCCTTTCACAGAGGTCATCTAAGACCATCCTGAAACACACATATTTACTTATTATTCATAACAGTAGCAAAGCTGCAGCTATTAAGCAGCAGCAACATTTTAGGGCTCTGGCTTGCTTTTTTTTTTTTTTTTTTTTACTCAGTGTATAGTCTGGGTGAGCCTTCCCACCACAAGGAATTTTCATGCCCAGAAATCTGTCACCAAGGTGATTTTCTATTCTGTCAAATTGGCCATCGATATTAACAACCATGGACAATTATCTCAGGCATAAACAGAGTACCCATAGCACAAGAAACTGAATTTCAGGTCATTTGGGAAAATTCCCTCTACACTTGTCCTTCCTCCCGAAAACCGACTTTGGTCTCACGAAAGACAAGAGTCCATCCCCCATTCTCTGCTCTAATGTTCCCGTGTTGGAAGGGCCCATGTGACCACCCCACTGAAATGATCGTGGAACAGGCTCTTCCCTGCATAGGGCATCTCCTTTTTCTTCCTCACCAACTGTCATGTTATAAACACAGTTGTCTTCTCTTCTCCCCTGGGTAATCTCCATGAGAGGAATTTCATTTGTTCACTGAATATCACTCAGTTCTTCATAGACCATCTAAATCACAGTCACTATTCATAAGTGATGTAAGTGCTAGCAAGACACATGGGAAAAACATTTAATATTTAATTTCTCCTTCACTGTTGCAGTTTATGAAGCAAGTAGATCGATGTTACCCTGCGGCGAGTTTACACAAAGCAAGTTTGGCTTCCCTTCTTGCCGGGCTGTGCTGCTTGCCTTTCTCTCGTCTCGATTCTCCCACACTTACAGACCCCGCCCACCCCCCACCTCCTTCCTTACCGTACTGATGGGTTGGACTGGTGAAGAGAAGGTAGTCAGAAGCGCAGGTCTTGGACTCAATGTTCAAATCTCCCAACCTCAGAATGAGTCTCTTCCCCTTCGGGACCGTGATGGTCTTCTCACACACAGTGTGATTGGGGTACGTCCCTGGATAATTCTTAGATGTCACCGTGCCACTGTCCTGAGAGGCCACTATGTGCCCACAGCCATCACCTGGTAAAGAAGAGAGGATGGGAAAATTAAGAGCAACCGATTCCTACCAAGATCAAGAGGCTGCTACCCTCTCCAAGGCAAGTGTTTCTCTTGTTTTTTCCCTGACAGGAGGAAGGACCAAACAATGAAGACTGAAATGAGTTATGCAGCTGCGTCTCGTTTCAAACTGTTTCATCTGTGGTTCTCAGTTGCGTCTACTGAACTCACTCGGTGGGTCAAGAGTTTCATGCTCTGAATCAGAGTGCACAGACCTCAGGAAACACACCATGTTTTCCTGGTCATCTATCTATCTGCCCATCTAAACTTCTTCAAAAGGCAAGGCCTTTTGTCGCACATTTGTCAAGCCACCCTAGAGCGAATGAACAATAATTTATAACATAATTAGAAATAATAATTTATAAGTGGTGCTGCTAGGTGAGACAATACATACAAGATGCTCCTGGTAGAAGGTACACTAATACAGACGGGGTTCTGTTTAGGTGCAAATCCCTTAGCTGAACAACCATTGCATATTTATGTCTCAATTACTGTGACAGTCACAGATTCAAAGATTTCTCATAGACCCAGGATATCAGAAAACATCAAGGGTTTACTGTGTGGAGTGCTTGGAACACAATAGACATGGTTTTACTGCTGGGTTACACAAAACCAGCAAAGGCTGCTTCAGGGAACTTGAGTCCTTCGTATGATAATTGTGATTCTAAGTCATTTGTTCTCAACCTTCCTAACGCTGTGACCCTTTAATACAATTCCTGTTGTGGTGACTCTCCCCCCCCCCCCATTAAATTATTTTGTTGCTACTTCATAATTGCAATTTTGTAGCAGGCATTAGGCGTTGGTGGTGCACGTTGGTGGTGCACGCCTTTAATCCCAGCACTTGGAAGGCAGAGGCAGGTGGATCTCTGTGAGTTCAAGGCCAGCCTGGTCTACAGAGCACATGCCACGACAGGATCCAAAGCCACAGGGAGAAACCCTGTCTCGAAAAAGCAAAACAAAAAGCATAATTGTAATTTTGTTAATGTTATGAATCAGAATTATACATATCTAATATGCAGATATCTGATATGTGACCCTCAAGGGGCCACGACCTCCAAGTTGAGAACCAGTGTTCTAGATGATGTGCGCTGTATCATGAAGCCTGGACACAATGCTAAAGGCCCATGAAAGAGAAGGCATGTTCATGACTTTTATAAATAACTTGCTGAGACAAGAACTTACTTTTGGTTATTTTGAATAGTAAAGTCTACCGATTAACCAACAGATTGCGCCAGCTGATAAGTAAACAAATGAAAGGCACAACAAAACAAGCAAAAACCCAAACAAATTAAGAACGGAAGGCCGTCTGGCAGCTGGAGGGCAGAAATCTGTAGGAATTCTCTGAGGCAGAAAAACAAGTCTCCTTCGTGTGGCTCTCTGCCGAATCTGGATGGCCCTTCATTTCCAGGCCTTGCCCCATCCAGGAGAGTTCACCTGAACTCTTTTTTCATTCTAGACCTTCCCTGCTTGCTCTGCAGTTTCTACCCCAAATGACTAACAGAAACTCCACAACCCATTTCATCTCAGCAGCCAGTGCTGCGGGCTTGACTGGAAGCAGGTCCCTTGTAGGGTAACAGCAGGTGCAGAGGTACCACGGGGCGCGTCAGGCTGCAGAGATGGAAACACCCTGAACCATGAAGATTCAGACAGAAGTCTGGTGGGCAAGGAGCCCTCTGAGTGTGGAGTTAATGAAACGGTGTGAGAAACCACGTGTGTTAACACACACCTTTCATTCTGGCACTCAGGATGCTGAGGCCAGAGGGCCAAGAGTTCAAAGACAACTGGAGCTACACAGAGAGAATGCAAAGACAGTGTGGGCAATAGATTCCGACCCTGTCTCATAACATAGGAACCAACAAAACAACAGGTATCAGAAAAAGATGACTAACCGAGCTGGATACTGCTGAGATTTCGAGTGTGGGAGGAATCCCGGAGGGGGCTGAGATTGGGAAGCCAGGAGGAAACGGCCTCCGGGTTTCCATACCGCCACAGGAAAGATAAGAGGAGACACAATGTGGGCTGTTTAGAGCTAAAGGCTGATGCAGACAGGAAAGCAAATACTTCGGTTGACAACTTTGGGGTGATAACAAAATTCCCTGGACTCTCGAGCAGCTACAAGTATAAAGTTGAAAGTTACACTAGGGAGGGCTTTGGTTTCGCATTTGAATTATTTGCTCGCCTCCAATGGTTTTAGTAGAAAACTAAATTTATAAATCCTCCAGAAAACTAAAAGTCATGTCAATCACATGAATAGATATTCTCACAGGATTATAGAAATAATTCCTGTCCCTTTAAAGAGATAAGCACCCTAGACCTGTCACTCATTTTTATTCCTTGCCCTTCCATTGTCGGTTGATTTTTAGCATCCAGAAAAATCAACTGTGGGTTAACAAGTGTGAAAACAACCAACCACACATAACGACCCACAGTATATACACCTCACACCTCGCAGCCACCAAGACACGGCAAGGCTGGCCACTTGAGAATGTGCTCTCTTTCAGTCTGGGCAATTCTCCTCTAACAAGAGGACAGAAAACTGTTCAAGGAGAACACAGGGCTGGTAAGAAGGCTCTGTGTAAAAGCATTTGCCAAGCAAGCTGGAGGACCTGCGCTTGCCCTCAGATGTCCCGTGAAAGAACAGAATTGACTCTTCAAAGCTGTCTTACACACACACACACACACACACACACACACACACACACACACACACACGCATGCACGTACGCACGGAGGGGGAACACAAATGGACAGCGTGATGGTTCACACAGCTCGGCATCCTAGAAGTAGAGGCAGAAAAGAGCAGAAGTTCAAGGCCAGCCTAAGCTACGCAGAAATAATACCCTGTCGCAAACAAAACAAAACACAACTGAAGATAAAATGAGAAACTATGGCTCACACCTATCACCCCAACACTACAGAGGCAGAGGCAGGAAGATTGATGCAAATTCAAGGTCAACCTTGTCTATGCCTTCTAGGCCAACCAGGACTATATAGTCAGAGCCTATTTAAAAGTAACTAATAATAAAACAAGGAGCAATTATATGAATCAACCTCAACATGATTGTTACATCCAAACATCTCTTCTTTTAAAGAATGGTGATGATATGACAATTGAAAAACCCCAGGGCATCATTTGTATTCAAAGCTTCGATTTTACTTCTTTCCAGTCATTTATGCTCTTAAGCCCAAGGGGAACTTTGTCACCCACTGGTGATGCAAATAGACAGATTTGTCCTAGACATTCCCATCATTGCTATGTGTAGGGACCTGGGCCTCCTTGGGAAGATTTCCCTTCCCACTCTCAGCATGGAAATCTGCATCTCAAACCAAGTGGGATTCAGTGAAAGGCTGGTAAGGGTTAGGGGAGGCTGAGCTTTCTCTTGCATCTCAGAGTACACGGTAGGATTTTCTGTGGCAAATGCAGCTGTCAGCTTATCTGCATTAGGTCAGCAAATTCATCCACTGCCTTTCTGCAGTTTTGATGACTTCAAATGACGGAGTATAAATACACCAAAGGGAAAAATGGCAAACTGTCAGAGAGAAAGTGACGCCAGTATCATATGTTGTATGAGACAGGCTGCGAACACAGGAAAGAAAGGCGGGGTCCCAGGCCTTCATCCTGACCCTCATTGCCAGATCCTCATTGCCAGACTAGATGGCTATTTAAAAATCCATCAATTAGCCGGGCGTTGGTGGTACACACCTTTAATCCTAGCACTTGGGAGGCAGAGGCAGGTGGAGCTCTTTGAGTTAGAGGCCAGCCTGGTCTGCAGAGTTCTAGGACAGCCAGAGCTCTTACCCAGAGAAACCCTGTCTTGAAGACAAACCACCAAACAAACAAAAATCTATCCGTTTAGCCAAGCACTGGTAAGTAACCTAGTTGGGTCTGGGGAAGGAGGACGACCAGGAAGCCAGCGTGAGTTGCAAAGAAAAAAGAAGGCAGGTGAAATGCCTGTGGCCCCCACTTGAAAAGTTAACCTTATAAAACTCTTTAAAAAGATCACTCCTGGGGCTGCAAAGGTAGTTCAGTCATTAATATGGCTTCACATCCTTGCAGAGGACCTGAGTTCAGTTCCCAACACCCATCACCTGGGACTCCAGTTCCAGGGGTTCAGACACCCCCCCTTGTGAGTTTGGGGGCACCTGCATCTGCATGCGCATACCTACACACAAAATCTGTCCCGTAAGAAGATCACTGTTACAGTAATATCAAGAAATCACTAAATGATTTCATTAGCTGTGACACGGTAATGAAGTTCCATAAGATCCTATGGCTGGTAGCACAGTTGATGGTGTTCCCCTACCCGGAATGAAGCCCGATTCCACCCTCGCACCCTAAAATCAGGCATGGGCCACACATCTGTCACTGCAGCACATGGGAGGTAGAGGCAAGAGGATCAGAAACTCAAGGCCATTCGCAGCTACAAAGTTAACTCAAGGTCACCACAGGCTACATGAAACCCTGTCCAAGAAAAGAATAAATAAAAGAAAAAGTTACCTCTTTTACAGACACTTCCTGACTTCTGCAGTCTGAGATTTTCCTTAAAATACTTAACACAAACGGGGAGAGGCAGGACAAGCGACAAGAGGGCCGTTGTGACTTGCAGGGACTGCGCACAACCGTACCGAGAGGACCCAAAACTGAAAACGTGGGCGGGGACACAGTGCCAGTCCCAAGGCTCTGACTCCACCGACGGCACAGCTAACCGGAAAATGGAATGCAGTCGTCGTTTAAGGAAAGTAATAAAATCACATCTTTATGATTGAACTTCACAGAAGTGTTGGGTTGATCTCTCAGGCAGGGCGAGCTAAAGCAAGGCAGCAGCAGCCAGATTAAACCGCCACCTGACTTCAAAGGGGAGAGGAGAGAGGGAAGGAGGGTGTATTGCTGCAGGGAATCTGTCTGCTCTTCAAACAGCATCTGCCACAAAATGTTTATCTTCTCCTTCCTTTGAACACGAATG